AAATAAAAAATAAAATCGGTTAACAGATTATGTTTTCTTTTCGTATGGACAATTTAACTATATGGTCTTACCTCTGAAAAGTAGTACAGCTTTCATAGTTTCCATACTATACCTTGCTGTCTACTGTATTGTATTGAGTTTGACATGAGAGAATGAAGGTAACATTTTCTTGTACGTAAGTGATGGTTTAGTCTGACATAAGTCACACTGCCTCCTCTAACCAGGCCTTCAGAGTTTAGCGATAAATCTAAAATACGACCCTATCATTGCCACACTCCTCCTGATTGAAGAGACGTTAATTACAATCATCTCATCTGCTTGCCTTGATTTTAATTTCTGCTCGATGCGTTTGACCCAGTTCGCATTTAATGAAGCTGACATTTTCCCTAAAGTTCAGAACAGGTTTGAAATATTTGGGCGATGACAGGTTTATGTTTTGACTCTTCTAAAGATTTCACTTTTCATGGCATCAGCTCTTGTTAATATTCAGATACAAAGATGGTTAGATACATTTACTTGAGTAACTTTTTGTACATCTAACTTGAGTAAAAGTTTAGGTTACTGTCAGAAAATAACAGAGATATGAACATAAAGAAACTCAGAAGGCAGAATTCAGGGTTTTTACTCGCGGCGAGGGACAGAGGCGCTGCTACAGCTCTTAACTGCCGAAGAACCACCGTCCAACGTCATGGATTTATTGAATCACACAGGTTACAAGAATGAATGGATGGTTACATTTTTCTATCACAGTAAAAAACACAGAGAATAAAGGTGTGTTGTGTGTGTGTGTGTGTGTGCCAGCTGCTGAGGTGTAAGGGAGGGATGTGCGTAGGGAGGATTGTCCTTGCAGAAGATAACGGCTAATGAGAAGTTAGTTTTCCCGTGAGAAATACACTTTGAGAAATACTCTTTGATAATAATAATAAGACAAAGAAGCATCTATACAGCATTTGAAAAACTCTTTAACAGTTACTCTTTCTAAACTATACAGAATTTTTATGTTGATGATGTAAACTGATTTGTACATTTGTATCTCTTGCGCTGCTCCTTCAGATATAATAGTTTTTCAAATTTTGTGGGCTGCCCTTTGAAAATGTCAGGTTTTGTGCATTATTTAAAGGGTCATATTATGGTGTTTTCTGATCTATGTTATGATGTTATTTCCTCATCAAAAACATAATCTGGAGTTATGTTTTGTTTCATTCACAAGCTCTTCTCTCAAACGAGCCTCAGGATCTAAAAATGGCCGCTCATTCAAGTCAAAGGTCTGAGCTCATGACTCCAGATTAGCTCGGCGAGGTACATTCGGTGGCTCCCTGCCCACTGAACATGCGCAGTACATGAATGCTTGTGTATCACATGATCACTTTGACCAATCAGAGCGAGAGGACCTACAGTGGAGCCGAAGCATTTAAGCGTTACGATTATAAAGTGTTTTTTAAGACAACTGAAGTATTTTGAGCTGAGAAAACGTTTATGATCTGAAAACAGGTAAAAATCGCCACAAAATCCAACATTTTTAAAAGTTGTTTATACCCTGTCAGCTGAACACGAGCAGTTTGTGATTACATTGCGCTCTATCCTTTCTGGGACAGGTTGTTTTTTTGTTTTTTTATGCTGTAGTACCAGTACCACTAGGCCAACTCACCACAACTACAAACTAGTAATACCCTATCCAGTTATTTTAAAAGATCCATGTTCTCAAACTGAAAACACTCTGTTCCACCAAGTGATGTCATGTGGTAATACAGGAAGTGCTTCACTGTGTTTTGGAACTCCTTACACTTTCACTGGAATCATTTGAATCAATCTGTACTGAACAAAAGGTAAAAATTAACTTAAAAATGACTGCTTCATGACATCACAAGGTGGAACGGAGCGTGCTGAGCTTTGAAGATGTAAACAGACTAATAATAAAGGATTAAACACGTGTGAATAAAACAAAACACAAATTTCTGTATGTTTTTCGGGAGGTAACATTCTAACCTGCCTCAAAGTTCACAAGAGTTTAATTTGCGTAATATAAAACCTAATGTTTTGCCCTTCCGGTTACATTAAAGGTGTAGTGTGTAACTTTCCTCAGCCATTATAGTTAGATAGTGCACATTAACTTAAAATATAAATCAGATATTACAACTACTAAACACTTACACAATAACTCACACCTAAGTTCTATTGTCCTCAAATATATTTTAATTACTTGTGCACTTTCTTGGCCTTACACTTAACTAATATTATTTTGAAGTAATAATACAATTATCGGCACTTTACCTTTCTGTTTACGCATTTCTCATGACAACTTAACACCTCTACTCGCTCGGCAGATGTCCGCATATTAATTATCTTGTTCAACATATGGGCAAACAAACAGAGAATTGTTCTTCCCTGTGCGACCATGATGGTAGCTCCCAACCCACGTAGTTAGCCGTCATCAATAGCCTGTAGTTATCACAAAGTATAAGATGACTCACTCTGCTTGTAATGTGCTCATTCTATCTCAGTGGGCTAATACTTCCTTTTAAATCCCAACGTTTCCTCTTCTTACACAGAGTGACCTGAAGTTTAAGCTGTTAATTGCTGGTGGTGTGTGCGTACTCCTTTTGCTCAGCCCTGATCCCTTTTGTTCCCAGCTCTACGGGACAAACAAAGCTTCTTTTTCTTGTCTTGACTCTCCAAAATAGAAGCGGATTAAGTCAACATTTCTCATGACCTCTATGTGTTTGAAGGCGAAAAAAAGTGCAGAGACAGATGATTCATTTTAGCGGCAAAGGTGATGGTTAAGGTTCACTTTATTGTCCCGCTGTCCTCTGCATTTGATCCATTCTTCAGTGCAGCTGGGACAACCATGTCGAGAGTGGTGGGCATCCCAGCGCAGCACCCAGGGGACCCAACCCCAGATCTTGAGCTAGACTTGGTCAGAACTACCTTAGCTGGAGGATTTTGAGATATTGATTTGAATGGCATTTGTTTATTACAGTTACCATCCCAACACAGGGTTCCCACGATCATGGAAATCCTGGAAAAGTCATGGAAATTGAAAAAGTTATGTAATTTTAGTATCTCTTTTCACGCAACTACAGTGTTTTGTTAAGTTATGATTAGGCTATTATGATTATTTCCACACATATGCCCCTTTTGTTTAAAAGAGACGACAATAAATGGACTGACAGTATTTTAAATGTTAAAAAACTATAATCCCAAACCATAAGGTGAGTGGAAAGAGTTAACATTTCATATTTAGCCCTAAAAGTCTGATCAATTCTACACATGTAGGTGCCGTAAAGTCATGGAAAATTCACATTAGGTCATGAAAAAGCTCATGGAAAAGTTTGAAATTTTGTCAGTGAAAAAGAAAGGGAACCCTGCCGACAGATCTATCAGACACTAGAACATTGTGAGCTTTTTGAATATTGTACAAAAGTAATGATCAGAACAGTTCAGGTGGTGTCTATTATCAACTGTTGGCTTGTACACTTCATTTTACTTGATCACATTTTGCTTGCTTGTTAGCTTGAAAAAGTTGCTTCGTCTCTCCAAAATACGAGAGAATTAAAGGTGCAATTTGTAACTTTTCTGTTGGAGGGCCTGCTTGCTTTACCTGGAATGTTCCACAGCATGGCATTAAACTTTTCAATCTCTATAGACACCAGCTGGATACTCCATCAGGCCAACCAAACAAAGGTTAGATCGTGACCCTGCTCACAGTAAAACCAAATTTATGGTCGTGTGTCAAATCGTCTGCATCACGACATAGAGAGTTTGCGTCATCATGAGCTCCCTCCCCCTTCTGACGTGCACCTCTGAAATTTTCCAATTACACATAGAAACGATACAGACAGCAGACAATTACAGGCTGTGATTGGTCCTCTCTAGCCTGATTCATCAGCCGGTTTCACTTTGTAGAAACCGTCTGACCTCGCAGCATTAGAATTCATTCGCTCGACAGTAGGCGGGTACTTTTTCTCATTTAACCAATCGCTGCTGTTTGGTTGTGATGTATGTAAAGTGCCGCTAATGGGGCTAACTGGAATATTAAGCTTTTCCCAAATCCCTTAGGAAGAAGGGCAATAAAGTCTTTCCCCTTGATAAAATTCACCAAACATTCTCTTTGTTTCGGCTTTAAATCCTTGATCTCGGGAATCGTTGACAACACTGAATGTATGTCTCTTCGCTGATTGGCTGGTACCCGAAATCGCACTTCCGGGGTTTTTGCGAACCGTGTAGTGTATTCTGATTCCTGACCTAATAGCTGGAGAGAAATGAAATTGAACGGAGGCACGGAGGGTCCTATCTACATCTGTTCTACATACATTTCCGGTACTCCACTTTCCCGCTTCATTTTGTAAACAAGAACACTGTTTTTAAATCCTAGCCTTGTAGCATTGTGGCGATGAATTACTTTGCTGCGCATAGACCTCGACGCAGATCCATAAATCAAAAACGATGTCGACAAGGTGACAGCAGCCGTGTGCACTGAGTCAACGCAGAACTATAATTCGCCGTTAAGAATGCATGTTTTTACAGGTATTCTTGAGCAATATGAAAACCCACAATTTAATAAATACTTGTTATATTAGTTTTATACCATACTGAGGAAATATCAGAAAATTAAACTATGCTCCATATATCTCCATGCTGACGGACCAACCACGTAAAAAAATCACACAGTCCTCCTTTACGTCAACATTTAATTGCAAAAAAACAACAAGTTTAATGGAAAATGTCACCTGCCAATACAGATGATGCAATTAGGCTGCAAATGTTTTTCTTTTGTTACAATCAAATTATAACTTTCCGCAAAACATGACACTATAAAAATACCCCAAAATGAATTAGCGTGCCCTATAATCTTTAGACACAATTTCAAAAACAGCAATCAGCGCTAATATTATTCGGAAAAGTTGGGTCAAAAAATCCCTCCCATTGTGAGTGAATGAGTCATGAAACGTAGCGGAAACTGCTACTGTTAACTGCTGTTGTTCATTTGTTTCCCATTACAGAGCCTCCATTTTGGATAATTAGTTCTGACACTACCTTTTCCCTGCGGTGTTGATTAGACCTAATTAATGACTCCAGGCAAGATGGAGGATCGCTGCCCTCACGGAGCTGTTTTCAACCTCCCCAGGTAATTCAAGCTGTCCTTTTAGTGCTGCATGGGGAAATTATTATTAGTTTGGGGAGTTTTATGTTCTTTTATTGTTTTGGCAAAAAGTTACACAGAGCTAATGGACGTGGCATTGTACTCGTCTTTATTTCAATACAAGGGAAAGACCTGATTCTTCATACATATTTCAATGCTTAACTCAATTCTCTAATATGAATAGTATTTCTTTATAAAAAGCAGTAAATAGCTTTGTTTTGACACTCTGGTAAGACTGGTAAGACTTTATGTTATTACACAATGAAAAAGTGAGGTTGCCTTACAAAAATGTAATTTAAAAAGCACCTCTAAAATATAAGCAATGCAGTTTTAGTCCATGCATGAGGTGAAATGATAAAATATGTTTATTTTGTAATTCCAAATGAGCTTAAACAGGCCGGTCAGAGTCAACCAAAGGGCCATATCGTTAGCCTAATAGCATAGTTGCCTAAGTCATGTTTGAACATTTTTGGAAAACAAGAAAAAACACATTTTTAGCAAGCACATTGTGAAGTTAGGCAGATATCACAATTTGGCCAATTTTTTTTTTTTACCTAGGCAATGATGCTATTAGGCTAATGATATGTGGCCGGGGAGCTGTGCAATGACATATTTGGATACTGCAATGATAGTGAAAATATTTTTAGACATGATATAAATCAAAAGAAATTTTTTTCCACCCAGTATTGATACTTACTCATTCATTTGTTCAGTATTTTGGTTTCTGTACTAGTTTTAGTATCTGGGAATAATTTTTTCCCCCAATATTAATACTAATTCATTCATTTGTTCAATATTTTAGTTTCAATACTATTTTTCGGGAATCATTTTTGACAACCCAAAATTGCAGCCGAAGCCTACTGTGCAAAAATGTGATTTCTAGCCATGAGTTCAGAATATTTATTTAGTTAGTTAATCTTAGTGGTTTTTACGGAAGCCGAGAGATGTCACAACAAACGCAAACGCCGCAACACATACAAATGCGAACGAATTCTAATGCTGTGAGGTCACACGGTTTCCACAAAGTGAAACTGGCTGATGAATCAGGCTAAGTAAAAATATAAACTAAATACACTTTTGTAACAATAGAAAGCATTTATACTTTGCAAAAGGTATCAAACACACTGGACATTATTTTAATATTATACTAATGAATGAATAATGAAGAAAAATCCTCAGGAGGTATCAATTATAAACTGTTGCTTTGTTACCTTTAATTTAACTCATCACATATTACCTGCTCATTATCTTGAAAAAGTCCCCTGTGACGTTATCTAATAGCTGCTGAAAAAACAACAGTAAACGTCTCAAGTAGAAGCAATTAGTGGATGCTCCCAAGGCATTAGTTGTACCTCACAATGGTTAAGCTCAAATCACTGATAGGTTTTAGTTAGTAAAGAAAAGACCGTTTCATTTAGCTGTGAAGTGTTACATTTTTGTCCATTACCGACCTCTTGGGGCAGAGCAGAGCAGATTTGGCTCGATTTCAGCATTTTACCGAGCCCTTTCCTGCTTCTACTATTTACTGTTTCTTGCTAAATAACCTCCAACTTCAAATTAAATAAAAAAAGTATAACAAGCTTTTAAATTCCGTTTAACTTTACAGCCCATTTGCTTTTTCAGCATTTCTTGTAACTTACCCATGAAATTTATCAACATGTTTTAGCACATTTTTGATAAGATAATAAAGATAACACTAATATGACTGATGACTAAACACTTCCTGGTTCCTTGCAATTCCTTCTTCACCCATGACTCGTCACCACTATATTGCAATAAAGGAGACATTATGTAAAATAAACTTTTGGGAATCATGTTCATAATGGTGTTTCTTCATCATTAGCTTTGTCCGATTTTATTTCTTGCCTCTTATCTCTGGCCACTGCTCGACTTTAGACTTTCTTTCGATCAGCCAAAATATTCGCAGTGTGGGTTATATGTGTGGGGTTCAAAATTGTCACGCAATCATTTTTTTTCAACAATAAAACGATAAGGTCGATAAGAATCTGTTACTTGCTTCGTTGAAATGCCATTATGAGGAGATGGGGCTTCTCAGTTCTGCAGTTTTGAACGTGAAATTAACCTGTAGTTTTAGATAAATTTTATAGTTCACAATGAAAACATGTAAAATATGTCGCTATCGTTTAATGCTAAATTCTTGAAAAGCATAACATGTAAGGCTGCTCGATTATGGAAAAATTCATTATCACGATTATTTTTGGTCAATATTGAAATCATGATTATTCAAACGGTTCTTTTTAGTTACACGATGCATTTATTCATCATTTCTCTCTCAAAAAAAAAAAAAAACACTTGATAATTTACGCAAAACTGAAAATAAATATAGACTACAAATATGTACCTTAGAGCAGTTTTGCAATTTATAAAACATAAAATGAATAAAATATACTTTAAACATGAAATAAGGCATAGAAAAACATAAATGTATCCAAAATAAATTGCATATCCAGCTGTTCTACAATCTGTTTAAAAAATAAAATAAATAGAAAAAAATATCCCAAAATAAACTTTGTTAAGCTTTAATCATTTCGACTCGATTATATGATTTTCTTTCTACTGCTCGATTACCATTTTCTTCTGAATATTTCACTACTTGCAGCAGCGGCTCTTTCTACAGGAGACATGCGCAGTAGAGCCAGTGAAGTGACAGATACTGACACACAAGCCTGAGCGCCCTCTCACGGCTGTCAGTGTAAAAGTATTAATATATAAGTTGCACCTGAGTATAAGTCGCAGGACCACCCAAACCATGAAAAAAAGTGCAACTTATAGTCCGAAAAACACAGTTAGAAAATTTCAGAGGTGCATGTCCGTCGACACAGACTCTCTGCGGACGATTTGACGCATGACCATAAATTCAGCTCAAGTGTGTACTCTCAGAAAAAAAAAAAAAAAAGGTATACTAATATTTACGGCTGATGCCATCAACATTCCCTGGAGGTGTGATAATTGAAAGCATTACTCTGTCTGAAGCTCTGTTACTCAAGTTTTCTGAGCTTTTTTTATCGCAGTTTGACCATAAAGAATCGACTGAAATACATTTAAGTTAGTCACTTGAAAATCAAACACTTAAACAGGACCACGGTTTTATTTTTATATAAATGAGTATATTTATTTTATTTTTATTTTGGATACATTTATGTTTTTCTTTGCCTTATTTCTTGTTCAAAGTATATTTAATTCATTTTATGTTTTATACATCACAAAACTGCTCTAAGGTTCATATTTGTAACCTATATTTATTTTCAATGTGAAAGTTTCGCGTAAATTATCAATAAGAAAGTGTTCTTTGGGGAGAGAGAGAAATGCTGAATAAATGCATTGTGTAACTAAAAAAATATTTTTAGTTTGAATAATCGTGATTTCAATATTAACCAAAATAATTGTGATAATAATTTTTTCTATAATTGAGCAGCCCTAGCTCTGTTCCACCTTATGATGTCATGTAGTGGTAGTTTTCAAGTTTACGGCTTTTTTTAAAATCTTTTTTTCAGTAGAGATTGTCAGTTCCAGGGCTGAAATTTGCTGAAAAGATTCTACTGAAGATGTTTGGAGTTTAAAAACACAGTGGAGCACTTCCTGTATCACCACATGACATCACAAAGTAAAATAAAGTATTTTCTGTTTGAGAGAAGAACTCTTAAACAGCCTAAAAATGCAGGATTTGTGTGTTAAACTTGTGTAAATGAAACAAAACACAACGCCAGGTCTGTTTGTGATAAGGAAACATTATAAGAGATAAAAAAGGAAGCTAATATGGACTCTTTAAAAATGAGTTTAAATATTTGCTTTTAAGTTTATGTTTCATTTTGGTATTGTGTAATGTTATTTTTGTCTAGTTAAATTAGACAAGATAATAAACATTTGAATTATGTAAAGATAATAGTGGATTAGATCTGAATGTCTCACAGGAAGAGAGCATAGCGAGGAGTGTGTACTGGCCCATCTGATTAACTGTGCGTTCCTTATCGTCGATGACTTGAAACCTCCGCACAAAAGCGCAAACAGCCAGTGAGCGAGAGGAAGATGAGATTATTATTAAGATGAAGATGGAGTTGTCACGTATTTACATCAACTGCCAACAAGTCCCTGCAGCAATCTGGTATGTTTGTAAGAGTGGGCAGAGATATAGCAGACATTGGCAATCATGCTTATCTGTGTGGACTTGAAACTAAAAAATGTGAGATGGTAAATAGTATAAGAAAGCAAATGATACACAAGCACTATATGTGGTGAAATTTTGAAAAATTAGTAACAATATAGTGATTATAACTAAATATTATAACTTCAAACTACTTTAGAAAACTATATTAATTTACCTTCCCATCCTTGTACGTATACATCTTAAAGTAGTTAAAGTTATTACCTTGGCTGATAACTGAAATGCTCAAAATGTGTTGACGTGATACTGCAGTGATACTGATAGAATTTTTGTCTGATATAAATGTACTTTTTTTTTTTTGGCAACATATTTTAATGTTTCAGGTGGATAATCACAAAACAAAAAAGTCAGAATTGGAAAGAGTCAAGGTACGCAACTAATCAGAGCAATCACAATTTAAGTTTTGTACGATCATAAACGATAAACTTTTGTGCCTTCATTAACATTATTATTAGTTTGTAGACCCTATATATGAGTGGACATAGCTAACGCTCTAGCCGCCGTGTTCCAAATAGGAAGTTCTCCAGGAGGCTCTTCTGGCTCCTTCTGCCTCTGGCTCCAATTGACTTACATCAGGATCTTGTCGTCCCTCTCTCTATAACTGCTGCTGTGAGCCTCATCATTTTGATCTTAAAATGTTCGTATTAACCCACGACACATGATCTTGAATTTTTTTTTCCGCTATTTTGTCCATCAGAAAAATCATATTCATAATATAAAGCCTGGCTCCAGACTTGCTCCTGTCACCATGAGCATCGCGAGCCTCATTTGAGCGGCGCTGAACTCTGTGGGTGACGTCACACTCGCTTAGTCCACTTCTTTTATACGATCTATGATACGACCATAAACGTAAAAAATAAAATAAATCCTTACATTCTTCGTTCTCATTTTGCTTATTTTGATACAATCATAAACGATAACCTTCTGTGTCTTCTTTACCAGTATTGTTAGTTTAATACAGTACAATACAAGAAAAAAGAAAGAAATTGGGTTAAATTATATTTAGTATGCATAGTATGAAATATATTTTGCTATATGTAAATATTTGTAAATTTGCAACTACATAATTTTTGAATTTTTGAAACTATATAATGAACAGGGGTGGGTTAATCTAAGTTTTTCTTCTTCCCACTCCTTTTCGAGAAATGTGCTTTTCTGTTGTTTACAATGTATATGTTGTATGTGTATGATTATAGTTTCTTTCTTGGCACAAACTCAAAATAAAAATGAATAGAGATTCAGCTCAGGTTTTTTTTTTTTCAGTTGAGAGGTCTCCAGTGGTTCTCAGCCTTATCACACCAATTTTTTTGTGTGCTAAATTCCACTAACTGAACTAAAAAGTCTAATTCCTCAAATTAACATTTGTATTTAATAATAAAAAAATTTAAAAATTGGTCAGTATGAGGAGAGAGATTGTGATAATTTTCTCATGATTTAGTAATATACAGTTTTAGTTTTCAGCCTTATTAAGTTACATCTCTCAACTTATCTGAACCTTGTATAACTTTGGCATTATTCTACATTGGTGTATGGCGTGTTGAGTCAGGTGGGCCACCAAGACACTTGTAAAATACATGTGTTTATACTCTGATATTGCATTACATTAATCTGGCACAGTCATGCTTTATCTGTCATTACTCAGACTTTTGCCAGTTTAACCTTACTTGCTACAGTTCTTGTTGAAAACCACCCTTACGCTCTTATGGTGGTTCAAATCATAACCCCAGTTTGTGCGCAGTATTTAGTCAGACTTTCCTTCATTTCCCCGGCACATTTTGTATGACATGTGATGATATGGGGGCTCCCAGACAACGCTGAAGGGGCCGATGCTTATCTCGAGTACACTGATCGAGGACCACACCACCTCCATCACCACCTGCCCCCCAAATCCAAATAATTACCTGTGGGTTCATGTGGGCACTTTGAAAACATAGAAGAACTGCAACCATTTTATACTTGGGAAATCCTAAAAAGTCTCTACATGAATTTTTCCAAGTATCTGAGCAAAACTAGTCTTGCCCCAGTACAGATATATTGTAAAAGCAGCTCTTGGGGTCACAGTAAGTCTGCTGTGAACTGTCTGCATCTAATTATGAATCTTTTATTGTCAGGGAATCAGGAACTGCTCTGTTAGCGTGCCAATTGTTCTTGTTGGCTGTGTAAAGGCCGAATTATAGTTCTGCGTCGACTCAGCACGCACTGCCACTGTAGCCTTTTCGCTGTTGTTTTTGATTTATGGATCTGCGTCAAGGTCTATGTGCCGCGAAGTAATTCACCGCTGCAACTCTAGGATTTAAAAATGGCTTTCATGTTTACAAAATTAAGGGGGAAAGCAGACTACCAGAAATGTATGTAGAGAGGATGTAGAGCAGATCAATCACAGCCCTTATTATCTGCATCGCTTTCCCTTGCTGTCTGTGTCGACTTGACGAGTACCGTATTTTTTGCACTATAAGTCGCACCAGCCAAAAAATGCGTAATGAAGAAGACAAAAACGTACTTAAATTGCACCGGACTATAAGTTGCATTTTTTTGGAAAAAATATTTTATAAAATCAGAGACCAGAAACCGACATTTCATCTTGAAAGGCAAGTTATAGTAATAATAACAGAACAGAGAACAACAGACTGTTAATGTCACATATGAACAGTTCTTCAGATAACTATAGCATAAACAACAGAACAAGTTTACCAAACTCATCATCTCACTTCAAATCACTAAATCCATTGAATTTTCATCCTTGGTGTCACTTTTGAGCAACTCTGCGACCTCCGCAGGGTAACCGGAGCACCACTTCCTCTTCTGTGTAGCTGTCGTCAGACTCAGCATCAGTTTTAGTTAGAATTATTCTGGCCTTTCTGAATCCTGACAGGATGCTTTTGGTTGTCACTGAAGTCCAGGCTTTGTCGATCCATCCAGTGACTTCCAGGAAAGTTGCATGCTGCACCCGCCTGGTTACCTTGAAGCTGTGTTCTCCATCCCCGCTTTCCGCCAGTCCCTCACAAGTTTCTTGCTCACTCCTAACTTTCTTTCTGCTGCTCGATTTCAGTTTTCCGCTGCATATTTCACTACATGCAGCAGGACAGTGGCTCTTTCTGCAGGAGACATGCACAGTAGAGCCAGTGAAGTGACAGATACTGGCACACAAGCCTGAGCGCCCTCTCGAAGCAGTCCGTGTGAAAATTTTAATACATAAGTCATATCAAAGTATAAGTCGCAGGACCACCCAAACCTTGAAAAAAGTGTGACTTATAGATTTGACGTATGACCATAAATTGGGCTTACATGTGTACTTTCAGAAAAAAGGTATATTGATACTTTGCCGCCGATGTCGTCAGCATTCCCTGTAGGTGTGATAACTGAAAGCATTGTTCTGTCTGAAGCTCTCTTACTCAAGTTGGACTTCTGAGCTTTGTTTTAACACAGTTTGACCATAAAGAATCGACTTAGAAATACATTTAAGTTAGTCACTTGAAAATCCAACACTTAAACAGAACCACGAACACTTGATTGATCACAGGCTCCTGAAAATTGGTTGCTTAAATCCATTTTGTATTTTTTTCTTGACTTTTCAGACTATCTTAAAACTTTAAACTGCCGTAGACATACATGCAGCACCCTCCAGTGTGATATCAGTGCAAAGTATCAATATTCTAAACTATAAAGCCTGAACTTGCTCCTGTTTTCCACTCTGCTTGTTTACCACTCACCTAATGACTATTGTCTCTATGCTCCTCTCTATAGGGGGAAAAGTTGTGATTTGAGCCATGCGGAGATGACTTGACAAGTTGCCCGCGCAGTCCGAGAAGATCTCAAAGATGAAGAGAAACCCGGCCTGACAGAGACAAATTGGCTTGTTTTGTTGTTGGGGAAAGTGTAGCATTCATCTGTCACTTTAGGCCTGTTGACAAGACACAAGTGTGGTGAGTAATGGCTTGTAAATGTTTCTATCTCTCATGCTTTGATATAGTACACCAACTGCCTGCCTGCTTCACTTTAATGCATTCACTTTTAAAGGAGACGTACTATGTAAACTTTCAGGAGTTTTAAACCATGTTCTTGCTCAAAAGTTTGATTGATGCATGCAGTTTGAGCAATCCTGTATTGTCCTGAGTGCTCTGAAAATGTCTGTTTTCACCTGCCCCTTATCTCCTCCCTCAAAGCCACAAATACAAAGAGATACAAAATGCACAGTTGAATCTCCACGTTTTTAGACGGGCGTGATTGACAGATAGATCAACCAATCAGAAATGTGCACAGTTTATTGATTTCAAAACAAATATGACCTCTTACGAAGAAAAAAGAAAGGCAAAAAAACCCACAAGAAGACTGAGAAACATGAATGCAGAATCAATAAGTTCATCGCGAAACCCTGATAATCTGAGTTGAGAGAAATTCGACTGTATTTGTAAAACGTAGATGACCAAATGAGCTCCTTTCATTTCACATGTGTCACTGAAATAAACAAATCTGACTGCACCATCATGTTTGGTGTGACTTGAGACGTGACAGAGTGTTTGGGGACCAGACGTTCATCTCTCTATATAAAAAATACAGAGAGATATTCTGGATATGCCAAGAAACAAACATGCAACTCTGAGTAAGTTAGTCATGAGGGAACACAGTTATTGCGAGGTTAAAGGTAGGATTTAAATAATATTTCCACTTTAAAATCTTCTCTGGATTGGCCCCTAACTCCCAGCATGGGTGACATACAATCAGGCGGGACTCTCAGGGTCCTGGACAACGCACAGGGAACATTTGGAGGGATTACGAGACGGCTTCTTTTCGGAGTCAATCAGCGGATAAAATTAGTTCTTTTGAATAGGTTAAAACTACCAGTGTAGGGTCACAGTGAGCAGGCTAAAGAGCACAGTCAGGTGGAAGGAATATAGACATGCTGAGGATTGTGGGAGTGAATTAGAACTTACCCATGGAGGAAAAATGCGCCATTAGTACCCTTACAATTTTTCTCACATGCTTAAATCTGTTCACCAGGGCTGCAAGATCTCAGTTTAAATAGTCACAATTAGCAAGAGACTGCAATTATTTAAGTAACATTATTTTCCTTAATACATTAAAACTGGTATCGAATCCAGATATTCATTTAAGGAAGTATCGTATATAAAAAAGTCACATTCACAGGACAGAAATGGATCTCAAATGAGCACAATGGATCCTATATGGATGACTGAGAGATTACACAGATATAACGCCACATGACAATATAGAATGTACTATGATTTATTGTTGAAAATCACATCCTATTGTCTAAAGAAATAATGTTTTTTTATCATCATCGTGGTATTGGAATCTGTAATCAGGGGTGTAGTGAGCGTGGTACACGGGGCTACACCATCTACCGGTCACTATCTACCCAGTTCTCCCGACGTGAAATATAAAAAATAACAAATACAAAATAGCTACAACTTAAATGTCAAACTGGAGCTATTAGCTATGGTGAAAACAACCTGCATAGGCTCATGATATCTGCAGAACTGTCCTATAGTGACTTGAGACATGAAGGACCAGGACTGAACCAGGACTGAGTGTCGGGACGGGCCCGGAGCTGCGCCCACGTAGACCGTCAAGTGACCGCAGGCGAAAGAACCGGCACAGAGCTCCACGCCTCATGGAGATAAGCGCAGCTGTCGCCCAGTCGCACTTTGCAGACACCCTGCTCAGCGAGCTCAGGGTTCTCTCTCTCTCTCTCAAGTCCAAAATTAGTCCTGGTTTAGTCCTGATTTAGACCTGGTTTAGACCTGGTGCAGTCCTGGTGTAGCCTGATTCATCAGCCAGTTTCACTTCGTAGAAACCGTCTGACCATTAGGATAAGCATTAGGATTCGTTTGCTTGACGGTAGGCAGGTACTTTTTTCATTTAACCAATCACTGCTATTTGGTCATGACGTATGTAATGCACCGCTAACGGGGCTAACTGATATATTAAGCTTTTCCCAAATCCCGTAGGAAGAAGGGCAATAATGTCTTTCCCCTTGATAAAATTCACCAAACATTCTCTTTTCCTCGATCTCGGGAATCATTGCCAACACAGAATGTATGGCTATTCACTGATTGGCTGGTGGCTGAACTCACACTTCTGAGGTTCTTGCAAACCGTCCAGTGTATTCTGATTCCTGACCTAGTCGCTGGAGAGAAATGAAATTGATCGGAGGCAGCCTGGCTAATCCTGGTTCAGTCCTGGTTTGGTCCTCCTGGTTCAGTCACGAATCGCATACCCCCCACTTAAAAAATTCCCCACTACATCAATGTCAGTAATGATGTATTAAGTCACTTCCTTAGTATTGAAATCGAGTTTGAAATTTTTGTATAATGACAACACTAGTTAAAAAAAGCAAATAATTTTGATTTTATGATGATTTTTTTTTTTTTAAGTTTAATACCATTCTGGCAAAATATGACATTTCATTCTTTCAGACTTGTCTCAAATGCCATTGCACCTGGGCATGTTTAAAATGTAAACTGTGAACTGAATCCAGATTTGAAACGTAAATCGCAATTGGAATATATTTCTGAAAATGTTGTATTTTTCCCAAATTGTTCCACCCTACCGCTCACACTGTCAAATTTGTATGTGTCAATTGTCACCGAAATTGTCCTGTGGGTAATTTTCTTGTTGGAATAATCACTGAATGACAACAATTTACTCCACTTTGGATACTGATGAGTCTGCAATTACCAAAGTTTTATCTGACAACATTATAGCGGCAGAATAATTCATGAGCGAAGGAAAAATAAAGATAAACTCGCATTTACTCACTTGTGGAGTCTGAGTCATGACACCGCACATATTGAGACGGATAGCAATTAGCTCTCATCAGCCCAAATGGATTCCAGGCATGATTGAGCACCAAGTGGACATGCGTGCAGAGATTTTAGTGCCCAGAATGTTGCACCATAAAAAACAAGCATTAGACTTGATGTTTATGTCAGTACAGTTTTTCATTTTCTATTTTGGAGTCACAGTTTTATCTCTCAGTTGCATCTGAATAAGGCATTTAAAGGTGTTATATTACTGTATTTTTCAGATTATAAGTTGCACTTTTTTTCATGGTTTGGCTGGTCCTGCGACTTATTCTCCGGTGTGACTTATATTTTACAATTTTCAGACTGACAGCCTCGAGAGGGCGCTCTAGGCTTGTGTATCAGTTTTCTGTGCATGTCTCCTGCTGCAAATAGTGGAATATGCAGCTAAAAACGGTAATTGAGCAGCAGAAAGAAAGTTTGGAGTGAGCGAGAAACTTGTGAGGAACTGGCAGAAAGCAGGAATGGAGAACACATCTTCACGGCAACCGGGAGGGTGTGCCATGAAACTTTCCTGGAAGTCACTGGAGGGATCAACAAAGCATGGATTTCAGTGACAACTGAAGTTACGTTGAGTTATTCAGAAGTGACACCAAAAATGAAAAATTCAATGGATTCAGTGGATTTAGTGATTTGGAGTGAGATTGAGATTGGTAAACTTATGTTATGTTTTACTCTATTATTATTACTATAACTTGCCTTTCAAGATGAAATGTCGGCTCCTGGTCCCTGATTTTATAAAATAAATTTCCCCCAAAAAGTGCGATTTATAGTCTGGTGCGACTTACATATTTTTTTCTTCCTCATTACGCATTTTTTGGCTGGTGCGACTTATAGTCTGGAGCAATTTATAGTCCGAAAAATACAGTACTCAAAATTTATTCCTGTGAGCTTTAATGTTATAATGTGGTTACCTCTTCAAAACATACTGCAACTGAGTTATTAGTGTGTCCACATCTAAATGATGTTGCTCTGTTCCACCTTGTGATGTCATATAGGGTTAGGTTACGGCTACCTTTTGTTCAGCAGAGATTGGAAATTCCAGATCTGAAATAATCCAAATGATTCTACAGTCCCTGACAAAAGTCTTGTCGCTTATCCATTTTGTAGAAACAAAAGCTTATAACCTGACTTTAAATTAATCAATTGGTTTTTAGAAATGTCTCATATGAAAGCTAAAACCCTCCCAAATTATGCTCAATATACTAAAATAAATTTGCTTCACTGAAGAAAGATTGATCATTTAATGAACACAGAAAGGTCAAATTTTGGCAAGACAAAAGTTTTGTCGCCTACAGAAAATTGAACAAATAATTTACTTCAAATACAAAAATATGTTGCATAACGTCAGTGAATTAAGTAGTGGTGCTGTGAGATCCATATTTAATATCTTGTATGACTTCCATGAGCTTGAAGGACGCATCCATGCGGTTCAACAAGTGATTCATACAATTTGTTGATAAAGTCATCAGGAATAGCAAAGAAAGCGTCTTACATGCCTCCCAGAGTTCATCAAGATTCTTTGGTTTTGCCTTCCATGCTTCCTCTTTTGTTCTACCCCAGACATGCTCAATAATGTTCATGTCTGGTGACTGGGCTGGCCAGTCCTGGACCACCTTGATCTTCTTCACCTTGAGAAACTTTGATGTAGAGATAGAAGTATGCGATGGAGCACCATCCTGCTGCAAAATTTGACCCCTTTTATGGTTGGGAATGTAAGAGGTAGTTAATACTTCTTGATATTTTAGGTTATTGATATTGCCTTCCACCCTGCAAATGTCTCGCACACCCCCATACTGGATGTAACACCAGACTGTGATTTTTCCACCACCAAACTTAACTGTTTTCTGGGTGAATATTGGATCCATGCGGGCTCCAGTAGGTCTCCTGCAATATTTGCGGCGGCTGTGATGTAATTCAGCTGAGGATTCATCTGAGAAATCCACCTTCTGCCACTTTTCCAGTGTCCATCCTTTTAGCAGGCTGTGGGCCTTGGCAGATGCCACACGGTTTTTTTAATTGCCTTTTATTTAGTGCTGGTTTCTGTGCACTGATTCGACCATGGAGGCCATTTCGAGACAGAAATCTACAAACTGTTC